AAAGATTCTATTTGAAAAAATTGTTTCGAAAAATACATTTCTCTCCAGCAATATCATCTCTTTTTTTCTCAAATTTTATTATAATATTTTAGATAGGTCGATATCGAAATATTGCTGAAAAGCGCGTTACGCGATGCACATTGTTCCCGGCATCATTGACGCCTGATTATTATCTGCCGTGTAATTTGACATCAGCCGATTGTTACGCGCGCAGCCATCAGCATCCAATAAATTTATGGGCCCGTGGATGTGGCCGGCCGTCTACGTTGAAGACCCTTCACACGAAATGTAATTGGCCAACTGGCCGAATGAGCGAACATTCGAACATCTCGTTAATGTAACGACTGCTAAGCGTCGTCATGATCGACCGAATCGCGGAGGTCATTGGAAACATCATCATTACGGGCATCTTCCCATTTTCACGTTTAACACCGCTCACACAAATGTATCTAATCCTTTTTTAATACCGCACATATTTCGTAAAGATTAAACGCAAATTAAACGCGCATATTACGCGATTACTCGCGCATAAGAGGCTTATTAAAACTTTGAATTAATGCCAATACGCTAATTGTAAGATATATCATTTTCAATATATAAACTTATAAGCACTCTATTATATTTTGTATATAAAATATTTTGACGTAAAGTACAATATATATATTTCACATAAAATAATTTTTTATGCAAACATGGAATAGAAAAGATTCTTCGGGAAGGCGAATCCGGCTTTTAAGTTTCTAGATAAAAATCCCGACGATCGTAAAAAAACATGAAAAGTAGAGCACTGTGCGTAAAGCGAGATGATTATGAAATATTTAAACGAAGATCGTGAATATAGAGGAAGGATTCCGCGAATGGGCGAAGAAGGGGAGAAAGAGAGATTTCGCGCTTCTTTGTTCCGCGGTGCAGAGAGATCGAGGGAAAACGCGCATTGAGGGTGAATCGCGAAAGCACGGAATATCGCATCACGGACCGCGAATAAAAAGTAATATCGGCAAGTGCTGTTCGCGTCGGAGCAACTCTATCGCGATCCTATCGGGAGACGAGCGCTCTCGCACGCTTCGCCATAATTAATCAAAGCGCGCGCGGATCCTGGAGGATCCAATTAGCGGCGAGCGCGCTCTATTCGGAGGCTGCCTAGAGAGTAGAGATCCGCCACGGCTATATAACGGAAATAATAGAGGATAGGACGCATATTAATGTTTTGCCCGAAAGGCATCGAGTACAGGCGCGAATACAGGCTTATATGGCCACAAGCGGGATTTGAAGTTGTCGATTTGCGTGTCTCTCTCTCTCTGTCCCTCGTTATTACCTCTGAACCCGTTCATCAATAATGACGAACACCTTTTTTTCCAAATGTCACTCGAACTGTAGTAGTAATGACCGTTGAAAGGGATGCGCAATTTTTTTCGAATCCCTTTGTAAAAAATTGAAAGATATTAAAATTAAATGAAAATCGCGTGGAGACAAATACTCTCGTTTGTTCAATCAAACATATTAATATCGGAAAAATATATCTCTTTTCGCACTTATTAATTCTAGGTATATGTTTAATTAAACTCACAATCAGTATATATAATTAATTTACAGACTTAACTAACTTTATACAGATATAGGTATATAAAGTATAGCATTTTGTCTTTCTTATAATAACGACGATGTCTTCTCGTAATGCGAAGGAAATGGAAAAGAGTAATAACATAGAAAGATATAGTACACTGCTCCTTTCTTCTCCCATTAAAAAGAATGCAATAATATTGTATAAGAATGCAAAACCATTATATATGTCCTTAGTAACCGGTATCGACGTTGATGCTTCTTCTCGACTCGAATTATTTTCGCCACGGGGGACTTGAAAATGCTATTATACACGTAATAAATCTTTTCATTGAAAGGCCAACACATAGTTTAATCTCAGTAGTAAGAATATTCAAGTCATTAATATATAAAACGTAGTCATTAAGAGAAGCAACGAGATGCAATTTCGCCAGCAAACACGAATAACAATGTCGTGATTCAAAATTACTAGAAAATTAAAAGAAGATTTGATATTATGTGTAATATATTACGAGGATAATCATCTTCTGTCGAGGGTAATCAGCACAAGGATGATGAAACTTGATATCAGCGTTAAGCGACAAATCGAGTCGCGCCTTGCTTTTATGACACGCTAGTAGAATGTAATTACCATGATATTGCTTGCACGACTATTACGTTGGAGTCACGCAACTGTTACATAGAAAACTTATTGTGTGTATACGTGTCTCTTAACGCTTATCCCGGGAAAAGCACATTGCGCCACATGCTAAACTTGGCGCTCATTACGTAGCTTCATAATTAGGCCAGTCCCATTTATTACACCGGCGTTTGAAGTAAAAAGCAGCATTCTTTTTATATATGATATTAGCGTAATAATATGAAATTAAATGCTCGTACAAGGGACAAAATCATAAACTTATTGCGCAAAAGTAACAAGATTAAATCAAATATCTGAAAAAAATGATTAAAGCGAATGTCGAAGAATTTTCAGTTTATGCGCGCTGACAAAAAAAACTTTGGAAATCAGTAAAATTGTACGTAGTGCTATTTGTCATTATGCGAAGAATAGAAATGTCACGCGGCGTCCACATCTGTCACCATTCATAATGTTTTGATATTAAACGGAAAAATGTGACAGATATGACGGAGGATTATATATAGCGAAAGCATTAAAGAAAATATATTTGGAAGGATATACTGCTCGGCCAATAAACCATGGTCGTCGCGAGGATTAATCAAAATTTTATGCGTCGTCCTTTGCGATCGCGAGCGTTACATCTATCCGTGGAAAAAAGCGCATCTAGATGTGCGCGATATTTATGCGATCGCGCAATATCGTAAGAGCGCCGAGTATCGATAGTAAATCCATACGTTCGGGATATTATATTTCCCTGCTCTCTCGTTGGATCCGCCCGGGCGCTTACGGTTTTAATTTCGTCCCGGGTTACGCAGGATCATCGCGGAAACATAAATCGGTAGAAAATCGCTAAATCGTAGCGCGTTTTTTTTTTATTTTTCCCGGTATGTGCGTTAGAGATATATATTTAAAAAAAAGAGGAATTCAATAGGGGGATATAATAATGAAATAAAAAAATCAATACACATCATTATTTTCTATCAGGGTGATGTTCATTTATTGTGAATTTATCGTTGAATCGAACGAGGGGGTGTGTCGATTTCCAGACAATTGAAAGAAAAGTGCATGAGTGATCACTGCGCTCTTTTTGTTCGATCGAGCGTAATTTCGCAGTGTGTTTCGTCACTTTTGTTCGCTCGTGCTCGAGATACCCGGGGTAATTGCCGGGATTCCACGGGATTGCTCTATGCATTTATAATCAGCTAAATGTCGGAGGGACGCCTCGCCCTAACGCTCTTTGGATCCTCGAAAGAGAGCGCGATGGGAAGTAAATGGGAGGAGGAGGAGGGTGGAAGATCATGATGCGAGGAAGCGGAATTGAAATATCAGGGCGCACGATTCACTCGTAAACGTAACGTCCGCCGATTTTCCGGATTGCGAAAGAAGGACGGCAGGCGAGGAGGAAAATGCGCCGTCTCGAAGGAAGTCGTTTCACCTAGACGACACGTTCGAATGGCCGGAAGCGGAGTGACGATATCGTTCACTGTTTCCAACAGACTCCCTGTATTGGAGATAGTGAGGGATAGCAGTATTTCGTACGTATGTGTTGCGACGCTTCCTCTTGCGGATTTATTCAGCGAAATACGAAATTTTTCGGTGATGTCCCGGTTTTTTTCGTCTTTCGATGGCCGGATCTGACGAAGATCGAAGAGCGGATAGGGTCGGCGCGAATTGATTTGACGACGATCGATGCTTACAGCCGAGATACGCGCGGATGATCGGCAAACGAATTTCGCTCCAATTGCTCGTAGACGCCGTGAGCATTACCACCAGCCTGAAAGTTAATTTATACGATAAATAAACTTGCAAAGTGTACGTCGTTGCTTGCCGGACTGTGCATAGCGACGCGGTAATAATACAAAAAATTAAAAGTTGCATGTGAATAGAAGTTGCAATAAATTCTTGAAAAAAGAAGTTAAAATTTCCCGGCTTATCCTCTCTTGATACTTCTTTTCTCTTGGATAAGCGTGATTTATTTATAAACTGTACGAAGCAAATTGCGAAGATTATCGATATTAATGGACTTTAAATAATTCAAATTCGATATAAACAGAATCACAAGCATATAGTTATAAAAAATGTGTATGTAAGATATATATTTACAATATTTCTATAATTTATACACTCAGACACTTGTTTAAGAATTGATAATAGTCGTTGACTTTATTTTTATTTTCTTTTTATTGCTATTAAATTGATCGACGAGCGAATTTCTCTTCGATTATATTCGCGAATATTATATCCGTAAGCTTGAAAGTTAATTTATATGATAAATAAGGTTGAGCTATGTATGTTAATGCATGCCGAATCATGCATAGCAGCGCGGTAATAAATTTGCAAAATTAAAAAAAAGAAGAAAGTCAATTTACGCGGCGTTAATCCTTTGGATTTCGCTTCACACGAGAATAAAAATATTTTATCTAAATCGATTCGCTCTTCAAATGCAATCTCGCCCAACTCTATTATTATATAATAAAAGTTTACGGTAAGAAAATACACGGCAAAAATGTCTTACCTCCACCGCCGCCGCCGCCGCCGTATCCGCCGCCTCCGCCCAATTTCCATCCGCCACTTCCGCCGCCCGATTTCCATCCGCTGCTACCGCCGCCGTATCCACCGCCTCCTCCCAGTTTCCATCCGCCGCCGCCGCCGCCGAGGTTCCATCCGCCGCCGCCGCCGCCGAGGTTCCATCCGCCGCCACCTCCGCCGAGGTTCCATCCGCCGCCACCTCCGCCGAGGTTCCATCCGCCGCCGCCGCCGCCGCTTTTCCATCCACCGCCGCCTCCGTATCCACCGCCGCCGCCGCCGCTGCTGACGGTGATCACCTTGATGATTTTTCCGCCACCACCGCCGCCGCCGCCGTAACCACCGCCACCGCCGCCGAACTTCCATCCGCTGCTTCCGCCTCCATAACCACCGCCGCCGAATCCGCCGCCGCCGCCGCTGCTTATGTAACCACCTGTAATTTTCAGATTGTGATATCGATTTTTAACCACGTTTGAAAATCCCGATTCCCCGGCGTGATTACGTAACCCGTATGTAATTTATAGAGCGGTGTGAACGTGTGGGTTAGTTCGCGAGATGTGCGATTTATCGACTTTCTTTGTACGGTCGCGAGGACGGGACCAGGTGGTCGCGCGCGCGCTCATGTCGGCCCGCAAATTGCCACGAGGTATTTTGCGATTGCTACAAGAAGGGAACTGGTTGCGCTCCCGCCGATTGCGCAAGCCATCTTAAAGGGCAGGGGAGCGAGTACAAATAGCTCCCGAATTAAATCTTACGAGCTCGTTTAATATCGCTGAATCAACTGGATTAGTAATTGTGTATAAAGAATCGAACAAGGAAGATCAAATTTATGACATTTGTGCGCATTTCTCGTATATTTTTATCTCGCTTGTTGATTAAATGATATTATTCTTGCCGCGACGCGACGATAATTAATTTTCATGAAATCTGTGACCAACTTTCCAGAGAATAATTAACAGCTATCCGCGATTATCGTCTTGCTAAAAATATGATATTAGATTCTAGATAAAAAGACTTTCTATGTTAGCGTTTTTAGATACCGTGCCACGAATGAAACATTTTTAATCTGTCACTTTTACCAAATATTTTTATCTCGTTCATCACTTTTACAAAATTTTCAGTCAGAATAAACTCGTTAAAATTCTTATAACATAAAATTAGGCGCGATCGGAATTCCGTTGATGCTTTCAGAATCAATCACTGCGAAACTCATCGTTGTTTCGCTTTGCGATTTTGGAGTACCAGAAGAGGGTCCAAAACATCGCGAACACTTCACACGCGGGCGACATTCTCGCCATAATCCGCGATCACCACATTCCCATAAGCCTTTCATCGTACTCACCGTATGCGGTGGCAGCGAGTGCCAGCACGAGCGTAACTACGAACACCTGTAACGAGAGAGAGAGAGAACTCAGCCAGGCTTTAATAATCGCGGCACGCACGTATACATCGTTTCGCGTGCGCGAAAAATAGAAAGATTACATTCAATAATATAATATATATATATATATAAAATTATGCATCGTGCAACCACGCTTCCAAGTACGTACCTTCATATCGGAGATGTTTGATGCCCGCGGTCGGGCCTGCCGGCTCTTTTATAGCTCCTGCCTTTCTTCAGCCGGAGGCCCCCGCCCTTCTTCTTCTCGTTCACGAAGCCCAACTTTCGTTGCCCACCACCGTCAAGTACGAAAATCCCCATATCGCCGTTTCCAGCCCCTCCACCCTCTCTTGTTGTCGCGCGCCACAACGAGACAATCTTGACACTCGATCCATTCCGCTCGCATCTCGAGATAGAGCCCTCTTCGTCCGGACTTCTCTCTCGCGTCTGCTTTCGCGACATTCGCGACACTCGCTCGGGGGATGATGACGTGTGAAAAGTTGGGCGACCTCGTTAGCGGGAAAACGCGGTCATGATTCATCGGCCGAGATAATCGCGGCATATTCATCCCATTTAAAAAAGAGAGCTTATTAGTCCGGGGCGCGCGACGACAGGAGATTCCGCCATTGCGGAATCTTCTCCGCTCGTTTGCGCGGCGCGGATAGTAATTATCGCGCGGCGAATCGTGCTCGCTGGACCGGAAAAGCCAGGCAGACGTTTGCTCCAGTCCGCTTCTTCGTCAGTCCGGACACGCGCGCGCTCCGCGCCGGTGACTCTTTCTTGATGCTCCTAACCCATTTGGCTCCTCGCGGTTCTTTGCTCTCACCAGGTGAGCAAATCACGATTATACGAGATGTTGAAAATAGAACTGTCGAGACTCGAATTGTCGTAATCTACAGTTTGCTTTCCTCTTGTGTGAGCTGAATTTTTAATGCTATATTTACCCGCGCGAGATTCCTCGTTTTACGTTTTTAATTGTTGTCCCGTCTCAAACATTTTATTATGGAGAGTGAAAAATCAAAATTAAAAAAAAGACTCCAAAAAATAGGAAGATATATATGGTATATACATGTGCGAGAAAAATATGAAATATTAATTATATCTTGTTCTTATTTTTTTTAATCTCTGTTTACGTGAATATATATTCTTGAGATGCGAATAAACTTGTTCTAATGCCTTTTAGAAGGGTGATGAACAAATCATGTGAGTCCATTTTTAGATACTGATCTTCGCAAAAAAGCGAAAATTATTTTTATAGAAAAGGAAAGCCTTGTTCGAAGGAATTGGCCAATAGTCGCGGTTGCTACGGCGCGTTGCACAAAATTGTGCAAGTTCCATGCGAGGAGATAAACATCTCCGAGCCATTTTTATCTCCAAACGATCTCTTGGCAGTGTTACACTCGTCGAGACTGCCGCTGTTATTAAAGATCACGTAAATGAATCGTTATTCTGGATAATTCTTCTTGACGTAACAATTGATCGCCCGCTGATATTCCATTACGATTTCGTCAAGAATCGACATTCTCGATGACGTCGTGTGTCAAATCGTTGGACAATAGAGTTCGATAAAAAAGAGTAGCTGAAATTAAAGTAATAACGGAAATAATATTGCATACATACGTCTACATAAAGCGATAATATTTATTAATCTGAGGGTATATATTATATATAAAATATTTATAATTGCAGCCATATTTAAGACATTAATTATAGATTAGGTATACGTCAGATTAAAATAGAGCAAGGAACAAGAGATTTATATTAATAACTCTGAAATATTCTGAGGTTGGACGCGTTAAAATATAACTCAATATAAAGAAATATTGCAGTTGTAAGAAGGATACTTTGCATCTCTATTTCGTTTTTAATTTTATTTTGTACTTTGCCCATGAAAACACCGAGCTTAATTGCGTCTCGGAAAACAAAGCATGATAACGGGTCGTCGTTCTTCTTCTTCGCGTGCCGACGAGGTAACGTCTCGCATGCAAAACTATCGGCTCGCGTTTTACTCTCGATCGTCGTACAAAAAGTAGCCGGGATATTCTGTAGAAGGCGAAGGCCTTTCTGGCCTTTCACTGATGCCGATGTCCGCACGGACGAGCCTGACCTCTTCGCGCTCGATTAGCTCATCGAACCGCACGATGATCGATATGAAGTAATTTGGGGAGACAATGCTTGTGTCATTGATGGTATCGTACATCAAGGTCGAGCGTAATAAGTCTCGACAGAGCAATTAATTAATGTCATGTCGTGTCGTCGAGGAATATGAAGAAGTGAATGAATGAAGCTTCGCACACACATATATATGTATGTATATATATATATATATATATATATAGAATCCCTGTTATTTTATCGATATTAGTATGCATCGTTTGTGTAATTGCGTTTAGAAATGTAGATGCGTGGTTACCTTTAAGGTAATTGGTGCGTTTGCTGCGGAATGCATCGCCTGTGAACGAAAGGATTTTTCTTAGAATTTTTACGTCGACAACTATCTATCTATTATATATATATATATATATATATGATAGTTTGATAAAGTCTATAACTATCGTAACTATAATCATACGGTAATAGTAGAAGCGGACTTAGAAATACGAAATCTGCTCTCCGCTCCAGTGAAAGTTAGATAGTATTATGATATTTAACAATTTCAAGATGAAGTACGATATAAGATGATTAAAGTATCTTTTCGTAAATACATATCTTTGTACACCTTATATTTTGAAAGACTACAGAATAGTTACATTATCCAATATTACAGAGAATACGTCTATTATTAAATACATTAAAATTTTCTGGTATTTAAAAAAGATCTCTAATAAATATATTATAATTTTAAAATTATTTTTACATTGATAAATATTCTATATATTTGAAGAATACATATAAATAATATACAATGTATATATAGCAGACTTTTTATCTTAGATTCTTAGTTTGCATAATCATGGAGATTTTATCTTCATCATCAAAAGAAAGATTGATGTATCCATTGACATACTTCGCCTTGAGGGGTACCGTTTCATCCGTTTCAAGACTATAATTAAATAAATCAACTCTGTATAAAGTTGTCTCGTGCCTGATTTTCTTCGCTCTTAACCGGGTTTCCTTCGCTATACGTGAGTAAGAAATAAATGGCGAACATTGTTGATCGAGGGAGGTGTGTATACGTTTGAAGTGAATTGCAAAATACGCGTGCATCGTCGACATCGAGAAAGGACGATGGAATCTCTCTCGAACTGCGGGATGCCACAAGTACGTGACGTAATGTTACGTGCCTCACGGTCAGAAGGTGAAAACCGGTCGATGCCTGAGACTGCGGGATTTTCTCGCCGGAAAAACCGAAGCACATCACCGAGTGGATTCTCGATTGACCACTTTTGTGGTTTCGTTGCTGGCTTTTCAATGTCACATACAATATGTTATGCATGGAATTGAAATGTATAAACATTCTGAGGATTCATCATCTTTTTCTTGTGGGAGGAGGGAGAGGTTATTTACATGTAAAGTCTTCTTGATGAGATTTTTAATAAACAGTTGATTAAAATTAAATGCAGGAAATTGAGTTTAATTTTGTCATGTCAAATTTTAAATAAAGTTTTATTTTTATACTACAGAAATATACAATTTAAAATTTAATATGTAAAATTTTTTCGTAAAGTTAAAATAATTTTAGTTGCTAAAACACATACGCGCGTACGCACACACACACACACACACACACATTATAATACAAGTAAACATTTAAAAAAGAATTTAATTGGGACCATTATTTTCAAGTTTCAAAACTCTATTGTTCGTTATTGAAGCTTGTTCGATTAAAAATATACATGTCGAACGCAGGCGCGAGCATCGCTAGATCGTGCATGCCGATTCGCGCGTTCTCGTATCACACGTTTATCGATGATCGATAGGGATCTAACAAGTTGTAGCTCTCGTTAAAAGTTGCTAAAATATATAACGAAGCGCATGTAGTTGGCGAGCATTGAGCGAACGAGGGAAACAGCCAGAAACAACGGTGTGATAGAGTGACCGAATAAAGCCGACATAAAGCCGACAGCTGGAGCTAGCATTTACGGTTAATACCGTGCAAACCAATCCCTGCTTACGTTTCTTTTTTTATGATCATAATTTCAGATAGATAAACCCCATCTAATCGTTGCGCGTTTTAGAATATATCTTTTCGTCATCTTCTCTTTTTTTAACATTAAGTATTTTTGTAACTAATCTAAAATTTGTATTTATACTTAATCAGTTCTTATTGAAAAATAAAAATTCTGATCTTATGTTTCCCATACATTCGAAAGTTTGACATTTGTCTTTCTATTTAATTTTTGTCGTATGAAAGAGGCCTAAAGATTGCAGCAAACGTGCGCGCGCGCGATAATTAGTCCATCCGCGGAATGAATGCGGTGTATATATATAAATTTCGTAGGAACGGATGCAGCTCTGCATCCGATCTTTCGTTTTACGCCGCGGGCGATCTTTTCGCAGGATTATTGGGTTATCGCTCTGAAAATCACAATCTATCGCCGTCATTTGCGAGGACTCTTGCGACGGCCGTTCCAATACTTACGCAGGCGGTAATGAGTGCCATTGTTTGTCGGACGGCACTTTATACGTAGCTTTTCACGTTCCCTTTGCATACGAATTTGCTGCTAATTACATATTAAATATGTATTTCCAACCGTTATATCGGATGTGTCTTCATAAGATTGCCAACTCGGCTAATAATCATAATAATCAGGAATTGGAATTGATTGCTGTGGAATTTATTACTTATATATTTGCCATATATAATATTATCACTTAATTATTTGATAATATATGATTTTATATATTTGATTTTATATATAATTATATAATTAATCGGCAACTTTTGAAGTGGCTAACACAATTTTGTTATACTAAATATTTTTGTAATTGTAGCTCATTTTGTATTGAAAAAGATGTCACTTTTAAAATTCAAGCTACCGCAGTTATTTGTTGACTACAAAAAGGTTTGAATTAATACGATAAATGTATACAATATCGTGTCTTCATATTTCGCTCGCGTTTCTATTCTGACACGTGAAATCTCTGCAGCTATGTCATTATACATTAAAAGCCTGTGTCATGCAAGCCTGAAGCCAAAGCACAACTCCTTAAGGGATAAGCTAATGTTGCTGAGAACG